GTAGAGGCTGGGTTGGCTCTACAAAGTAGAATGCTCTCCTAGCAGGTGTGAGGCCCTGGGTTCCCTCCCTAGCAACAGGGTGGGAGGAAGAAAAGAAATTTGTAGGTAAATATGTAGAGAAACCACTGAAGTGAATTGTAAGCACTTGCTTCTGAGGTAACTCAGGTTCAGAGGACCACTATTTTTTATCCTAAGTGTTTTAGCACCATCTGATTTTTAAAAATATATTTTTAGTTGTAGATGGATACATTTATTTTGTTTACTTAGTTTTTTTTAATGTGGTTCTGGGGATCAAACCCAATGCCTCACACATGGTATGCTAGCACTATACCACTGAGCCACAACCCCAGCCCTGATTTTTTTATATATATACTTATTTTTTAGTTGGACACAATATCTTTATTAATTTATTTTTATTTGGTGCTGAGGATCGAACCTAGGGCCTCGTGTGTGTTAGGCAAATGCTCTACCACTGAGCCACAACCCTAGCCCCCAGCCCTGATTTTTTAAAACTATGTATGTAAAGTTGAAAATAAGAAAAACAAAAAGCCTACCAAATAAATAGTCTTCCACTGAGTTACTCAAAAAACCTCCCAACAGTCCTCTCTAACTAAGCATTGGATGTGTGTGTTGCCACGCAAACCTGGTGGCCACCTGCAGCACCCCACCTCATTACCCTTCCCAGGAGCTATTCTCTCTAGTGGTTATGTCCCTTGTGAATTACTGAGATAAGTTGAAAAATTAACCCAAGAAAGAGGCCATTTTTAGGTACAAGTTCATTTCCACCAAATAAACTTTTATTTTTTAAGTGAGAGAGGAGGGAGGGAGAGAGAGAGAGAGAGAGAGAGAGAATTTTTTTAATATTTATTTTTTAGATCTCGGCGGACACAACATCTTTGTTGGTATGTAGTGCTGAGGATCGAACCCAGGCCGCACGCATGCCAGGCGAGCGCGCTACCGCTTGAGCCACATCCCCAGCCCTCCACCAAAGAAACTTTGACAAATATTTTATAAACCCAAACAATTAACGTCAATATCTTTAATATCTATAGTTGATTTTACCATCTGGATCAACATATAGTCATTTTTCTTTCTGGAAAGTTGTCAGTAAATTGATGATGTACCATAATCCATAAATTTAAAATGAAGGAAATACGGATTATTTTTCTGTTTTTGTCCAGAGCCACCTCTTCCCCATAAACCACTCTGTTAACCCTTAACAACAAAATGGTAGGAGAGATATTCCAGTTTCTTCTTGTTAAGGACCTCGTCTCATTTGATGGCCTGGACATTGACTATACCTGAAATGGGCTTGTTCCTTTCAAAGGGATGGGTGAAAAATTATAGGAGCATTTGTGATTGTTTGGATCAAGAGGCTAAATACATACGTATAGTTTTACATGCCAAGGGTGGAAGCCGCCAAGGCCATGCAGATAGATGAGTGGGTAAACACAGTGTGGTGTGTGTCTTCAGTGCCTTGCACAAGAAGTCCCAACATATGCTAGGACATGGATGGATGCACCACAAGGGCATCACCCCAAGTGAAATACCTGTCACAAAAAGACATCCAAGGAAAATGCCCATGTAATGTGGCCTGCTTTGCTTGTGAGTTGACTTGTTACAGTTATTACATGCAACTTCATCAAATTCACTATTTTAACTATTAAGAAAACTAGTGGCTATTCTGTTTGGTTTAAAATGCTAGAATGTGGAGCTGGGGTTGGGCTCAGCAGTAGAGCTTCACCTAGCACGTGTGGGGCGCTGGGTTTGATCCTCAGCACCACATAAAAATAAATAAATGAAATGAAGGTGTGTGTCCAACTACAGCTCAAATAAATAAATAAACAAGTAAACATATATATATATAGGGTGTGTGTGTGTGTGTGTGTGTGTGACAAATAAATAAACATATATATATATATATATATATATTAGTATGTGTGACGTAAGGGCAAAAGTACAACACTGAGGTTCACAAGACAGTGATGTCACTCTGGTTCAGAGGCTGTGTTCCTACGAGCCTGAATGTCCACCATGCCTTTGCACATGGGCAGGGAATCATGGATGGATGGGCGAGGACTGAACAGAACTTAACTGGAGAGATGAAAGCATTCTATATAGTGATGGGTTGTGGACTACCCAGGTGTGTCCATTTGTCAAAATTATATGGGTATGTAAATTTTACCTTAAAGAAAATAACTAAAAATAACCAGAGTGGTAAGTAGGTAGAGATGGTGATGAAACAAGAAAGGCACAATTATTGCAGTTGGGTGGTGGGTGGTTTATTACACTGTTCTGTTCACTTTGTACACATGCGTTTGAAGTTTCTGTAATAAGATTTTTTAAATTTATTTTTTTAAATATTTTTTTAGTTGTAGATGGACACAATACCTTTTTTTTAAGATAGGGAATTTTTTTTAATATTTATTTATTTTTCAGTTTTCTTTTTATGTGGTGCTGAGGATCAAACCCAGCGCCCCGTGCAAGGCAGGCAAGCATGTTACCGCTTGAGCCACATTCCCAGCCCCACAATATCTTTATTTATACATTTTTATGTGGTGCTGAGGATCGAACCCAGTGCCTCACACATGCAAGACAGGCTCTCTACCACTGAGCTACAGCCCTAGCCCCTAAGATTTTTTTTTTAAAGCAGTGTTACATCCTGCCATATTAGAAAGTCAAAAGATAATATTTAGAATTCGTAAATCAAGAAATGACAAAATAAACACTATTTATAAATGTTCAGGTGAATAGGAATGAAAAACAGTTTTAAAAACATCAGAATGTTTGTCTTTGGGGATCAGAACGTGCATGTGGGGAGTGCTGGAATAGGGAAGTCTGTTTTGTTCTATAAGGCTTTGGTATTGTTTTGTTTTGAAATCTTAAGGTGTATTTCTTTGATAAGATACTGTATTCATTTTGTGGATTACCACATTGTTTTCAAGGAAAATATCCATGTGATCTTACATGAATGATTAAGACATTGTTTATCCCTGATAATTTTGGCAGTATGCCCATTATTTCCATTGTCCAAAGGCAGTGTTTAAATTTGAATTTGTATTTCATATGAGTGAGGCTAAGAAGTTTGACGGCATGTGGTTTCTCCCTGTCTGTGCTCCTGCCCCCCTGCAGTTTGGGTCTTTACACCATGGCCAAGAGTGATTATAAATAAGCTTCTATCATAAGTGTCCTTTACTGCAATTAGAATAAAATTCAGATTGTTAATCAAGCCTACAAACCAGGCCCTAAGTAATTTAAATGGTTGGACTTGTGCTAGGTTCTCCTGCCCCTCTCCCCCTTATCACTGTCAGCCTTGATGGCTTTCTTTGTACACCTGTAGCTCATTCAAGGCCTTTATATCTGCTGTTCCTCGTGAGACTGGCTGCTTCTTATCATTCAGGATCTGATTTAGCTCAAACTGAATTCCTGAGAGAGGCTTTCCTTAGCTGCCTAGCTAGAGTGGTTTCCTTCAGCCATCCTCTGTCCAGAGCAGTGACCTCATAGTATAGTCTTCAGACTAGAAGCTTGAACATCACTTAGAGGGGGTCTTGTTTGTATTTGGGAGAAATGCAGAGTCTAAGCCCCCATAGACCCACTGAAGCAAAATATTCATGTTAACAAGGCCTCCCTGGGTGACTACACTTGATCTTCCAGAGGTCCTGATGGTGAGTACACCCACACACTAGTTTGCCTGGCGACAAACACTAGTAGGCTTCTTGGTTCCTCAGGGTCATTTGGTCTTTTGTTTACCTGACTATTACTTCCCCCACTAGATTGTAAGCTCCCCAAGGGCAGCACCTTGTCCAGTGCATCCACTCCTAGTTCCCCAGCACTTCAGTGTCCACCTGGTACACATTCAGTGAGCATTTGATGGATGAAAGAATAAATGAATATAATGGCAATTACTTTGTGTTTTTTAACATAACTATACAGTAAAAGTGTTTACAGCTCTTGGTTGTAGAACTGGGGTTATTCCTTCTCTCAACATGGTTATTCTGAAGGGGTTTCACTCAGCTTTTTTGAACATGAGTACTTTTAAACCATTAATCTTTATTTTTTAGGCAGTCTATCTTCAAAACTAAAGTTTAGGTTTTATTAGAGTGCCTCTCAATTGACAACATCAATAACTGTTTTCTTTTTGGTATTTAAAAAGCACGTTCATTCAGAGTTAAAATAACCTTCAAAGGTTTTTATCTAAAGTAAATATTAATTTGACATTTGTATCAGGTTTTATTAAACCAGAATTAATCCTTTTTAAACTAAGAACATAGCATTCTGAAAAAAAAACTGTTAAATGGAAAATTTGAAATGTAACTTTAAAAAATGATGGGGCATATAATGTATCAGTTTTACCTTTGAGATATGGTTCTAGGGAAGACCTATAGTTGCTGATACTGTCCTGCATTTAAAAGTGTGTTCCCAAGATGTCTTTTTTCATACATAACCTGATAAATTTTGCCAGGAAACAGCTCTTCCATCTTCCATGGAAGACCTAAAATGGTTCAGCCATTAGCTCTCCATCCCCACCCCAGGTTTGACAATGGCTTCAGGCATCTTGGGTAGTCTCATTAGGGGTTGGGGAGTGCTCTAGCACCTAGCAGTTCAAGGATGCTGTTGAACACTCCTTCCAAAACAGCCCCTACCAGAAGGAATCCCTAACCCAAAGGTCAGTGGTGCTGCTGACCCTGGCTCAAATTGAGAGAGGCTCCTGAAAATGACGACGACATCAGAAAAGGAATAGATAGAAATGAGCCACTTAAGAGATTCAGATGGGTATATTGGCAGTTTTAGATATGTTTCTATGCAATCCTTGTTTTTAATCAGATGCAATACTGAAAATTAGGACTGGCTCCCTCTTTGGGTAAATCACTCTGAACAAAAGATATTTAAGAATTTGGCAACTTAGTTGATTAAGAATTGGATAACATTCTCAGATAATTTTACATTTTTAAAAATAGGGAATCTCAAATATAGGGTTACTGGTTTTCCTTATTTTACAGATGGGGTCGAGGATTTGGTCTTTTGGGTTCCATTTTTGGAAAGGATGGTGTATTAAACCAGCCAAACAGTGTCTTTGGACTTATATTTTATATACTACAGTTATTACTTGGTAAGTATTTATACAGCAATACAAAAATAAGTTTGTTATGTTCACTCAGTACTTTGTGCCCTTGCCCTAAGTGTTTTTATAGTAAATAAAAGCATATGTTAATGATAGAACCACTAGCTCGATCCATATTTTTGTGTTGTGAAATGTGATTCACCAGAATTTCTACAGTGCTTACGTTGAACTCAGTGTCACTTGGTGTTTGTTTAATCATGGAGAGCAGCATCTCATGGTGTCCCAAACCAGCTCCATTTAAGGCAGTCGTGATCCAACATTCTTCCCTGTTAACATTTTTTCTTATTTTATTATTGACCCAGTAGCTGTTTTAAATATCCTGTATCAAGAAAGCATTAACAGTAAGCTGCACCCACACCTCCATTGCCTTCATATACCTGCTGTTTGCACTGTCTTCTGCTGTGTGCGTGTATGGTGGGGGGCTGCGGCCAGCCGTGCATGTGCCAGGCCAGCGCTCTGCTGCAGAGTACCCCAGCCCTGTCTCCTGCTTCCTCAGGTGACTCTTCGTGCTCCTTGATTTCCAATGCAGTGCTGCCTGTCCCCTTCGGTGTTTTGCTACTGGTGACATCTGGGTTTCATGCTTTTTATATCGTAAATACTGCTGCAGTACTCAACTTTTTTTTTACAGCCCTCCCTTCCTCTTGGACTCTTTTCCATAATATAAATTTCTAGGCATGGGGTTAATGGGTCAAAAGCATAGAATAGTGTTTGGATTTTAATAGATACTACCAGTTTGCTTTTCCCCTAGTTATCTGGTTTCCCTGAAGCTTCATCAGTTTTCATTTTTTAAAATTTTTTAAAATTTCTAATAGTTAAATATTGTTAGCTATTATTTTAATTTTATTGTATTTAAATTTCCTTTAATTGCCTATTTAATTATGGAGATCCTGATAATAGTCCGTGTTCATATTTGTTGTGAACATTTTACTCCTTTATACTTTTTATGTTTTGTGAATTTTTACTGTATAAATTTTTATAGCTGTAGATTTAGATGCATCCTTTTTTGCCTGCATTTTAATTGTTAATGTTTCATTCCGTGGTCTGCCAGGTCTTCTGTGATTTGATTCATTAAAAATACATTTAACTCTTCCATCTGAAGTAGATGTTATGAGGCAAATTGCAAATTGTGGATTTTTCTGAATGATCCTTTCATCAAGTTTGCCCAGTTCTTTATCTGTATATTTATCCTGCAAAAGTACAAAGACGTTGCACAAAGATATTCATAGCAGTACAGTTTAAAATAGCAAAAATTGGAAGATGCCTAGGTGATAGGTAATGGTTGAATAAATTAGGGCACATTCCTATCAGAAAATTGTATGTATTCATTCAAGGAACAGTAGGTCTGTTTGTAAATCCTGGAAAGCTTAAGGTTACTCAGTGAAAAAAGTAAATTGTGACTTAATAAGTATAGGGTAAAATACATGTTTATATATGTGCATTTAAAAGCATAGGAAAGGATGTGGTGGAGGGGAGAAATTTCACTTTTTAATTCCATATATTTTGTTGAATTTCTGAAGAATATAAAATATAAGCCCAAATGCAAGGGAATGGTTTGTTTTCCCTTAATAGGAAAGAGCCTAAGAAAAGTCTTTGTATCAATTTTTGGAAATAAAGGTGAAATAATAAAAATTCTATATGTAATGTTAATTGGTTAGTTTTTTTTATGCATGATTCAGGTCATATGTATCATGTGTATTACTTCCATTTATGCTTTCTAAGGTCTTTAGACTCTTATGTGTTTGTAATGTCAGTGTCTATCACTGGAGGCACATTTGAAGTTATCTTGCTACTCCAGAGCACACCATCTTCACCCCCACCAAGCCATGTGAGATGCCGCATTTGAGATTTAATTTCTTCGTGGATACACATTCACATGCTTCAGAAGTTCCACTTGGCCCAGTTTCCATGGCCCTGCATCGTGACTGACAGCTCATTGTTGTTCTAGAGTTTCTTTATGCATGCACAGGAAAATATAAATATATGATCTTAATTTTCCTCCCATTCTAAATATAAAAGGCAGATGCTATACATACTGTTCTACAGCTTGCCCTCCACCCCCACTTCTTTTGCTTGACTGATCTATCTTGATAATCTTTGTAAGAAATAACAGTACATTGTGTCTTTATTTTATTTTTATTTTTTTTTTTTTTACAGCTGGGAAATATTACATCGCTGCCCCATCATTTATTTAGAGTTATAGCACATTTTAAATTCTACTGGTAATTTCCCCCCCCAAGCCACAAGTACCTGGTTACATTATAACAACTTTGTAGCTACTAGCAGCATTGACATTGCATTTTTTTTGTGGTCATTTAATCAGCTTGATCCTAGCTCCCTTTGTTCTCACAAGTCTTGTTGGTAGGCTTCAGAAGAGAGAAACATGGAGAAAGTAAGAAAGTGTTCATGTTGTTCTAATGTTGTTTTATTTATCTGTGTTTCATGGTGCTGGGTATCAACCCCCAGGGCCTTGTGCATGCACGGCAAGCAGTTGACCACTAACACTACAGCCCAGCCTGCCCCTGTCATTTTTAAAACTGACTTCTGTAGGTAAAATTAAGGAGACAAAGTTGGGTTTTTTTTCTTTGAAATCTTACAAGTTTAGCAGAGGTCAGATGAGCAAACTTTTTCAGTAAGGAGCCAGTTTAGGCTTTCCTGGCCTCTGCAGATACCCATCTCTAGCGCGAAAGCACTTATACTCATATAAATGAGAATGGCTGGGTTCAATAAAGCTTTATTAACAAAAGCAGGTGGCTGGCCAGATTTGCCAGTTTCTGGCATAAGTAATTGAACAGCATTTTAGTTTTGAAGAGCCTTAGTAAAGCATCATCATCCAGTTCTGACCAAGCTAAATCCCTATGGTGGAGCTTTAGCCCACGGGTATCTTCTCGTCACCTCTCTTGCTATCAGTAGTCCCCAAGGTTTGAGTCCTCACTGACTTCCTCCAGTCTGCCATCACCTCCTCTTCTTTTCTTGTTACTGTTTGTTAGCCATTAGGTAAGAGGGTGGTTTAATATGCCATGCCTTCTCTGTCCTTGAAAATAAGTGCATCCACTTTTATGTTGTTACAAAATAACAGGGGAAGGTGAGTCAAGAACTCAGGCACATGTCTGTCTTGAGAGCCCTGGTTTAACACACTGCTGCCTTTGACCACATGTGGCCACCTGGCCAACTGTGACTTCCCTTATCCACCAGTCAGCCCATTCTGAAATGTTTATCAGGACCTTTCCCCCTTCTTTAGCAGTATGTTGGCATAGTCATCTCCAATGTGGATTTTTGATAAAATTTGATCTAAAGATGAAAAGCAAATTTTAATTTCCACCAGATGGGGAGCCTGCAGTGAAAGTGCTGTGGGGGTTAGGGGCCACCAAATGTGTACAGCTTGGAAGAAAAAGTTGCTGTCCTGTCCCTATATGCATTAGGAGAGCCAGGGCTGTTGATCTTGCAGATCGGCTTCCTTGCTTCATGTAATGGTGAGATTGCATATCTTCTCTGTGTGCATATCCTTAGCTAAGACTAGCTTATGAAGCAAGCAGTGTTTCATATGAAATGCTGTGAAACTCGCACCCTGTCTGATCAGTATTCATGCACTGCAGTGGACCTCAGGCAACCCCTGGCCTGGCAGTGGGCTCAGCCATGTCTCTCTCTTACAGGCCTAACAGCGAGCGCAGTCGCCGCTCTGATCCTCATGACGTCCTCCATCGTGTCTGTGGTGGGGTCCGTGTACCTGGCCTACATCCTGTACTTTGTGCTGAAGGAGTTCTGCATCATCTGCGTCACCACATATGTGCTGAACTTCATCCTTCTCATCATCAACTACAAACGACTAGTTTACTTGAATGAGGCCTGGAAACGGCAGCTGCAGCCCAAGCAGGACTGACGCCCTGGCCAGCTTTTACTGACAGTCTGATGTCCCGTTCCCATTAAGTTTATTTTGCAGCAGGTTTTTGTTTTTGTTTTTGTTTTTTTAAAATTCTTCTCAACAGACTCTCCCTAAGAATCTTAAACTGATTTTTTAAAATACTGTAAATTAGAAGGGGCCCTAGCTATTTTCTGTGTCAATCTTCATTTTAAATATGGATACAAAAAAAAGGACACACGGAGCCAATCAAAGACAAGCTTTAACTTTACTTTGAAGATGTTTCTGAGATAATAAAACATAGCCCTAGCCCCCTTTCCTCAACCGTAAAGTGAGCAACCATTGCTAGTAATTCTTTAATGTGTATGAATTCAATTTCAGGTATAACAAATGTGATCATGACATGAAAATATTTTAGAATAGATACTGTATTAAATATTGCCATGTTTACAATATGTAATATGTTTTTAGCCGATGGATTTAAACATGTAGATTCAACTAGAATCCATTTATGTGATATTTGTAAATAAAAGTAGAAATATTGGATCCATCCCTGCAGAACTTACTGTACAGTTTAGTTGAAGAATAGCAATGAAGAATTGTGAGCTCAATGTTGGCTGGTGAAATAGTGGAAATAGTAAGCCGTGCAGAGCATCTTGTGGAAGTACTAACAGCCGTGGGTGCAGCATTGGCGGCAAAAATAATAGGGTGGTTGGTTCCCTTTCATCTCCCTGCTCTGAGAGGAAGAAACTAAATTGGAATGTTCAGATCATATTTGTGTCTAGTATAAAACTGGATCAGTGTAACCTTACAGAATGTGTCATGTGACCAGACCTTCATGTCAAGGCCTTCAGAACACTAATGGGAGAAAAACTGGAAGTACCAATGTGGTGTTTTTAGGTAAAGCCCTAGAAGAGTTGCATTTTCAGTGCAGATGTTTCCCTTAATATTGGTGCCAGTCAGCCAAGCAGTATTGTGACTTTGGAGTCACCAGTGTGAGCCCCACTGCCCTGGCAGGATTGCTTCTGTAGCTGCATGTTCCTTGTTTCCTTCTACACTGATGACTGCTGGTCACTGTTGTGAGAGCCTGGGTCTGTAAAGGGTCAGTTTGCTGAACTGGGAGAAGCATTACAGGTGGAAATATTTAAAGGGGGAATGCAGTCATGTCATCACTGCTCTTTCTCATAACGACACAATGCAGTAAGAATCTTTCAAGGTGATTTGAATAAGCCCAAATGAAATTGTGACAGTACGCCTCTGTGGCTAACATCCTATATCAGAATGTTAAAAGTGCCTTCTGTCTTAAATCTCAAACCAAATATTTTGTGTGTGGAACCTGGGCAGGAGTGTCCTTCCTTCGTAACTGTGAAGTAGAAAACTTGCACTCTGCAGAAAGGTTCTGTGTGGTCATTTTACTCCTTAGATTGAGAAGCAGCAGTGATGTCTTTGCTTCCAATTTGATTAATCATTATGTTAAAAATAGTCAATTAGAAGAGTAACCTGAGTGCTTTATTTGCCTTCTTTTTGACTGTGGGGACAGGCTCTGCTCTAAACTAAGGTGTGTAGAGTCAGCAGTTGGTCGTTAGTTTACCACTAACTGCCGTAACTGGCACACCATAGATGATCTGGCCCAAGGCAGGGGCAAAATCTGAACAGTTAATGAACTCTTAGTGGGTTTTTAACCCATTTTCTTAAAAGGTATTCAGATTTCATGGAGGCTTATGATTTCCCACGAATGTGAACATTTCAATGCCTGTCTCGTGTATATTGTAGTTGTGTTCGTAAGCAGTTACAGAACTTCAGACAGCACTGAGTGAGTGCCTGGTGCTTTCAGAGAAGCAGGTCCTGTGTTTGAGAGCCGTACAGTGAGGTCACTGGAGCAGTCACTGGCTCTCTTTTAGTGGAAATGGTTAGCGGCTAAGACTTGTGGCAGTGGCACCAGGCAGCTGTGCCAACAAGTCCATTGTGCCCAATTTTAAGCCATCTCTGATCACATTCTGTGTCCGTCAGCAAAGTAGAGTTAAAGCTTATCTTGATGCTGCATTCTGGGAAAGGTCTGCAACCCTTCGTGAGAAAGCTGCAGATGTGCAGCCTGGCCCTTCATGTTTCCCTTGCTTTCCTGCACTTTGGGGAAGCACTGTTTCAGCTATATAAAAACTGTTGCCACATTCCTATGCCCCAGTAGAATTAGGCCCTTTTTCTCACTGAGATGAAAAGGTGCTGCCTAAAGTAACAGCATTGCTGAAGTGTCAGTGTCTCCAATAAGCAGCAGAAACCCTGTTGCACTGTCAGTGTCTCAGCAAGCAGCAGAAAACCCTGTTGCATGTTACTTGGCTTTTTTTTTTTTTTCTCTAGAGGAATTCAGGCTCCCTACACACCTTCTACTCCACCAAGAAGAGGGATACCATATTATAAAATTTGAAGATTGTTAGGATCTGCAGTGTTTAGATTGAATATATAAACAATGCAGCATCATAAACCATCAATGCTGAAGGACAGACTGGGGAAAAAAATTGTTTTTAGTAGTAATTCTATACTTTGTGTTTAAAGTGGTTCATAACAAACAAAAGCCTCTTGTTTACTTAATAGTCACAAATACTTGAGGAAATTAGTATGGTTAAAGGATGAATTCTAGGGTGTTTTGGAGGATTTCATCTGGGTTTTCACAGCAGCTGGTTGCTGTCAGTCAGGGTGAACTTCTGGAAAACTCAGGTTTAACTAGTTGTGTGCCAGAAATTATTTTTTCTTGATAAATACAGCACAGCCTCTCCTCCAGGTCATGACTTCAGAAGAATGTCAAAAGTATTGACTATTTTCATACCAAGAAACAAAGACTCTTCATTTGGTACAAAGGATCTTTAGACCTCTTAAGTAGGATTTAGGACCAAGACCACAGTAAAATTAAAAGTATTTGCTGGCTTTTGTTTGCTTGCTTTATTTTCAAGAGACTGTATATTTTGGAAGTGCAAAGAAATCTTTAGCAGTTACTTCATGACTTTGGCAGGCACCAGCACTTGATGCCAATGAATGATAGGCAGTCTTGTCTTAGATCAGCATTAGACAGATGCCAGTGAAGAAGCCCAGTTCTTCCTGGAATTTACTTGGGGTGATACGCCTGCTCAGCAGCCCTGGTCTTCTGGGTTTCGTCCAACACACAGCCTTGGCGAAACATCTCCATTTAGACATTTTAGGCAGCACTTATGAATCCTAATTTGTGAGAACAGCCCTTTGTAAAACTAAAGGGGCAGGGGTGGAAGTCCAGGCTACTCGATTAAACATCATTTTTTTTCTTTTCTTTCCTGACAAATTAGCCCAAAAAAGGTGAAATGTTTTGTTATAAATCTGTATTAAGCATGGCCTAAGGATTAGGTGTCTGATCTGTATAGTATGTTCCATCAAAAATATTTATTACTAGTGCTTTTTGCTCCTGAGTAAACATTCATTTTAATGGAGTTCACTGGGCAGAATTTCCCCTTTAATATAGATAGAAACATTCTTTATCAAAGATTGAGGACACCATTTTGCTAACTGGTAAATAAAAACAAATGTAAATATGTAAGAATGTTTATTTGTTGCACATAACTTTTTGGTATAAAATAAATGTAGAAGTTATCTGTGGAAACTGGCTGCCCTCGTTCTTACACTACAGGATTAAATTTTTTTTAAGAGAAGCTGAATGAAGTCTTTTTTTTTTTTTAAGTTGTAGATGGACACAATACCTTTATTTTATTTATTTATTTTTATGCAGTGCTGAGGATCAAACCCAGTGCCTCACATGTGCAAGGCAAGCACCCTACTGAGCCACAACCCCAGCCTCTGAATGAAATCTTTTTTTAGATTCAGTAGGAACCTTTAAAGTGTGCTTGAAGTGATGCTGCATGTGACCTCATCTCTACAGGTACACTGATCTGATATCAATTTTCCATGGACTCTAGGTCTTAGGATTCCTGTGGGTTTGTGCTGTATGTGGCTCTCAAGAATTAATGACCAAAGGTGCTGGCTGCTTAGAGTTCTACTGATGTAGGATGCTTAAGCAGATGTTGTACATGGTTTTCCTGGAGCTCACCCAGATGCTCCATCTGACGGTCCTCTGAAGAGGGAACACCTACAAGATAACGAATCCATTTGAAGTAGAGCTTGGCCATGCTTCACTGAAAGAACAGACCTATCATGTGCTAGACCATAAGGGCTCAAGAATTGGACCCTGACCCTAATTTGTAAAACATTTATGTGCCTGTTACATTTAATTTCCTTTAATGTTTTCCAACTAAAGGAACTTTATATATTCTTTGGCATTAAACTGGAACGCAAAACTTGATTCCTTTAAAGATCTTACGTTCAGTGGTGACATGAATTTCTGACTTGGTACTTAAGCTGTTTTTAGAAAGTAGTCTGCAGGTACCTGGTACAGTCAGGCTGGCTATCTCTTCCACGGAGCTTGGAAAACAGGCTGAAAAGGCAACTGCGAGAAGCGAGTCCAGCTCTGCATCCAGAACTGTGTGGCTTCACTGTCTGCCATTTGACTGACACCAAAAGGAATCATTTTTTAAACCAGGACTGATGGAAACTCAAATCTCAGGCATAACGCACTTTATTTGCCTCACTGGACCCTTGTAAGGGGAGGATGGGAAATTCCCTGAGGAAGGCCTCTGTTCTGCAGAAGGCAGGTGGAGGAGTCCGCCTGGAGGTACCAAGGCCTGGCGGGCCATTCACAGACACAGCTGGCCCAGAGGTGTCACTGCAGACAGAGGCACTGGCTGTGAGGGAGCCTGTCTGTGGACTGGGCTGGCCAAGGCTGGAACAAGCACTAGCAACACGTGTCCACACGTAAGCCTCTCTGATGCTTATTTGCCAGGCGACTGGAAGTGGCATGTGGGTGAGTCGATCCCAGCGCAGCACCTCTGTACACCTGCCAGTGCCCATGGGCCTCCTCTCATGGGGGTCTACTCCCCTGGGCTATTGGGCCCACGAGCACAGGCAACCCTGTGATGGGTCTCTGACATCATCCCCTTCTAGCAGAGTCACCAGAGTCCAGACCAGAATCTGGTGCCATCAACATGGCAAGAGGCACTTGTTCTGTGGGTGTGGAAGTCGCCCTTCCTCAGGTGCAGGGTGGTGGGGGTCCTGGAGGTAGCTCTCTGGCTTTACAAAGTGAACGGGCTGTTTCCCAAGCACTGTGACTTCGCCACCGAAGGGTGGTACCTGGTTTCATTGGCAAGTTTCCAATATCTCTCCCGCAAAAGGAAGGCTGCACTCTTGGGCTGTCGCTGCCGGGTGAAGATGCCCTTTCTATTCCCCACTGGTCTCTGCGGTGCTAAAAAACAAGGCAGAAAGCACTTGAGGTGACTGACGGAACAACCTGGGAACCAAACTGCAATCAAGCCAGTCACAAAAATGGAGTGTCCGGAGTGGCAGTTTCTTGTTCTGAAGCGTATGGAGCAACACCTTCTAGACCAGAGCATTTAAACACCACCCCCTCCCATACCACAGGTCTGTTGGGGGGATTTAAATATGTGTGCCTGGCAAGGCCCGGGCCTCCTGCAGAGGCAGCTCTCCCAGGGGACTGGGATGTAGAGCAAGAGGATCTGCAATGTGGCTCCACCAGTGGACGAGTGCTCCAGGTGTGCACCTGGTGACCAGCTACTGGGAAGGCTGAGGGAAGAGGGCTCTGAGCTCAGGAGCTAAAGACCAGGCTGGGTAGCATAGTGAGATCCCGTCTCAAAAAAGACCATTTCTGGGGCTGGGGTTGTGGCTCAGTGGTGGAGCGCTTGCCTAGCATGCCTGAGGCACTGGGTTCAATCCCTGGCACCACATAAAAATAAATAAAATAAAGATTTTGTGTCCATGTACAATTATTTTTTTTAATATTTATTTATTTGTTAGTTATTGGCGGCCACAATATCTTTGTTTGTATGTGGTGCTGGAGGATTGAACCCGGGCCGCACGCATGCCAGGCGAGTGCGCTACCGCTTGAGCCACATCCCCAGCCCCTCAACGTACAATTAAAAAATTAATTATCCCATGATAAGCAAATACCCAGCACCGCTGACATGTCAAATGGAATCTAAGGTAAGGGTAGCTACCTCGCCTTGTAGGCCCATGAAAAGGTGACACAACTTGCCCAAGGTCACAGTGTCCCACCACAGAAGGGCCATCCCTATATCCAGGGCCATGGATCTTAAGCAGCTCGGTCCTTTTACTGATTCCTCACCTCATCCTGTGTGCTTGTCTGTCCCCCTTCCTTTCGGGTTTCTAGTCACACTTGGACCTACCAGAGGCCTGACTTTCCCCATTGCCATGTCCTCTTGCTCACCCAACCATGTGAAGGTCGAGTGTGAGGAAACTAGAAATCTGAAGGTATGGAAGAAACGGGAAGTGCTGGCCTGGAACCTCACTGAAGCTGCTCATCCAGCCTGACTCAAGAAGGTGCAGATGGTCACCCATATTCAGTACATTGGGACTTACCTATGTTTGGTGAGCCTCCTTTTTGCAAGTTGATCACATAAAACAGACTGAATTGGGTTTCTTGGACTTTGTACCCTTCTCTGAAATAATAGGTGTATCCAAAATTAGATCCAGTCCCCTGGACCCAGGCAGGGCAAACTGACCCTTTTTGCCTCAAGATAGGAGAGAACTCTCTCTTAAGATGACTTGTGAGCAGGTGCTGATTGCATTGCTGTTGCTAAGCATGGCCTTATTTTCCTAGCAAGTTCTCCGTGTAGCCCACGTGAACTAAGCCCTGAACTAAGCCCACTCCTTTGTTCCAGCCTTCTTAGAACCAGATGCCTAGAACTGAAAAGCTAACCTGAAGAAATGAGAAGTGGTACATTGCACAAGTCACAGGGCCACTTACACTGGTTAGTCATGAAATCGGCAAAGTTCCAGATGAGCTCTCCAACCACATATTCTTTGCGTTTTTGGTCCAGAACCAAATGATACTGCTCTAATAGACTTTTCTGGTACTCCTCAGTGAACATAAGAGGCGGATCCTGGGATTCAAGGCAGAGAGAAGTCAGAACTGGCAGAACCAAAAATGTTAGATAAAAATAAAGATCCACTTGACAGTAACCAAAATAACTGTCCCTGCAGTGGGCCATGGTGACTGCAGGACTCAGCTATGGTGTGCTGTAACCCAGAGTCGAACCCATAAGTAGTAGTTACTGTATTTATAAGCATAACTTGAGCTTTGCATTGTCATTTTTCCGAATTTGAAAGCCAAATGGCCCTGCAGTGAAGTCTTGAGTTTAAGCAGCCTCGTCTGAGAATTAGCATGCCCCCAGTTCTACACACTGCAGCTCCACCTGGAGCTGGCCTGGGCAGCAGCTGCTGAAGCAGTTGTTCATTCAGCGGTTAACCTAGTGTCCACCTGTGTGACTGGCACTGGTGACAGAGCGATAAACAGGAAAGGCAAGCACACTGCAAGGGGACCAAGCTCCAAGTCGGCACAGGGAAGGGGTATGCAGAGCAGGGCTGGGCAGTATGCAGCACGCCTGGCAGACAGGGCCAGAGGCCCTTTCCAGGCTCTCACTGAATGCTCTAGTAGGTGATCCTATGTGTCAAGGTGCAGGACTTCGTGATGGAAGGATGTTCTTGGGGCACACAGTCCAAGTGTCCACCTCAGGAGCCTCCTGGGAGATGGGGTCTCTCGGATACTCCAGGGTGCAGCAGTCATTCAGAAGAGAAGGCCCTGCTGGGTTTGACTCTGCTCCAGCAAGAGGAGCTGAAAGAGGAGCCAAGCTATGTCCATTTCAAAGCTGAGTCTTCACAAGGTCTAAACAGGCTTCAGCAACTCAGGCCCTAAGCAACTTGTGAGACCTTGTCTCAAAATTTAAAAATAAATAAATGGCTGGGCTGTGGCTCAGTGGTTAAGTGCCTCTGGGTTCAAGCCCTAGTATGAAAGTGGGGGAGAAAAAAATGCTGAGTCTGAGGGGAGGGGAGGGCAGGGCAGGGTGCTGGGTGCCTGCTCATGGAGGTGGAGCTGCACTGTCTAAAGCAGCGGCATGGTCACACAGCTACCTAACCCCAAGTAAAGGCAGCCTTGCTGGTCACAGCTCATGTGTACCTGGAAGCTACTGTTGGGGCAGCACAGATGGAGACATCTCTGTTGTCACAAAGGGTCTGTCACACCATCCTGGACCCCTCAACCTATTCAGACAGGAGCTGCACACCATGCACTCTCCCCTGCTCTGCTAGTCAGTGGGAGTGGCCTTCTCTGTGAGCAGGATAGCAGAATCCACTGGGTGAATCAGAGCTCAACAGTGACAGCAGAGGACGGGTGTGGATCATGGACTGGCTGTGACTCAAGAGTCCACACAGGGCCAGGCAGGTGGCCACGCCTGTAACCCCAGCTACTTGGGAGGTTGAGACAGGCGGATCACAAGGCTCAGGCCAGCCGGGGCAGATGAACAAGGCTATAAGCAACTCAGAACCTGTGGGAAAAGTGCTGCTGGGTTCAAACCCCAGCTGGAAAAGAGGTTTTTTAAAAGAATCACATAAGAAACCCCCACACACAAGGCAGAGTGGCTAATTTTTGAGGAAGTGAGTCTTCTCCCAAGACCTCACCCACTCCTATGGGCACTCAGCACTAGTGTGCTGCCTACAGCTGGGACGGATACCAACAGCTAACCCTGCCTGGGCGGGCAAGGTGGACCCCCTGACGGGGGCCAGCCAAGCTGACCCTGGAACTCGGATGACTGGCACTGCTGTGGGCAGCCTAGGCAGGAACAGGGGAGCCTGGGGTACAGCAAAGGGCAATCAGTGCTCCATCCCACAGGCCAGCAAAAGCCAGCGCCAGGACACCCACGGTGGGTCAGCCAGCAAGATGACGGGCATTTGGAGGGTGGCTGTCCAGAAAGAAGGCTGCCTCTCGGGCCAAGCAAGGTAGAGGCCTGACCACTGGCAGCAGGGCAGGTGCTGGAGAGTTGGGAGGACCCCCATCCAAACAAAGGGCAGGGAGGCTGGGAGAGGTAAGTGAAGAACTTTGTCCACCTCGTGGAGGTGAGCAAAGGACTGCACGGCTCTGCTCACCTCATGGAACCCCGCGATGGTCTCTGCACCATACTCGCTCTGAATAATGGGCTTGTGGTAGGTCCTGTACCAGTTCTCAAACTGGGTGCTCAGCTGCAGCTGTATCACCTCCAAGTGCCCATAATCGTGATACCAGGAGTAGTAGCTGTTCACACAGATTACGTCCACATAGGGAGCCTGGGACAGAGTGACAAAGTCTGTTTACTAGCCAGGTTGTATCAGAGAAGTCACCCAGGGGCTGCAGGAGATGCCCCACAGGTAGAAAAGACGGCCACGAGTGACCAGGTGGGGCCAGTAACATGCTGGGCAGGTGCTCTGAGCTGGCCTCGGAGGCCCAACCCTCAGCAGGGTCCAGGGCCCTAACCCAGCTGGATTCTGCTGCCGAGGTGGTGCTCCCACATCTTGCCCTGGAGGCCCACTGGATGCAGCTCTTCCAGAGGACCTAGGGCTGTGCATGCGCTGAGGGCACACTGCAGAGCTCCCTCCCAGCTCACCATGGCATCCCAAGGTGGCTCCTGGGTTCCCTGGGGAACTGGTGATAGGAAGAGGGGGCCACTGCACAGCGAAGACTTCTGCACCCAGCTAGCGCACCTAACCTCACCGGGACACACCTGTCTAGTAGAAGAAGCAGCCCTTCCCGCGGGCCACAGCCCCTTCCTTCCTAGACTGTGGCAGGCGGAAGCTGGGGAGGCTGGTGCAGGCACCACCTTCCTCTGACCCAGACTCCACCAGAGGAGTCTGGCACTCTCCCTAGAGGCTAAGTACAGGGCTCCCAGCAAAGCCTTCCCCGCCACATGGCAGACCATAAAGGAAGCGCTGCTGCCCAGGCTCGAGGACGCAGCCTGTACTGCTGTGCAGGTGGTGTTCTGGAGAGGCAGCAAGGGCCTGGGGGCTCGGGGGCTCTCCATCCCCGCCCAGGGGGCCCTTCCTACTGCTCTTACTATCGCACCTGCTTCCACACTCCCCCTGGTTCCTGGTGAAGAGCCTTCCCTTGTGCCATGTTTACAGCTCCCACACAAACTCAAGCCCGGAACAGTGGGCCCAGCAGCTCTGAGTGCCCATCACACAGGTCCCATCTGAAGGGAGCCACTTGGTCACTTCAGGCCCTGCACAGCTTCTTAAGAACTCAGGTTCCCACCCTGAGGTACCTGGGAACCTCAGGATCCCATCTGGACTTCTGAAAAGCTTCCCACAGTGATGGGTGCTCAGCCAGGAGGACTCAGCACCCTAGACCTTTGACTCGACTTCTCGAGCTTGTTAACTGGGGTGCAGAGGACTTGGAGTCCAGACTGAACACAGCACATGGCCCTTTGCCCAGCCTCCTTGGATTTAGAAGCCACGCTGGCTGGCCAGGAAGTGCTCTTTGACTATCTGTGGAAATGGTGGGATGCTAACGGAGCCTCGCAGCAGCAGGTATTGGCAAACACCAGGACAGAGGACACGGGCAAGGAAGGTGTGCAGCTCACCCCCAGGTCCCCTTTGAAGTTGGAGTTGGTCACGAAGGTCACAGGCCGGGTGGGATCCAAGGCTTTGGTGTGGGCAATCACTGTTCTGAGCAAGGAGGACAGAGGACAGGCTGTGAGCCTGGGAAGGGCCCTCAGTCACATCTCCCTCCGCCCCACCTGCCCAGGTACCCCAAGGCCGCCACTCCTGCCTGGCCTCTGAAGGCGTCAGCAGGCCCAGCACTGCTCCTGGGCTGGGTAGCGTTGTGAACCTGAGAAGCTCTTGGTTATAGGAAGGGCAGTGTCAGGATGGGATATTGTCCATACAACAGTCAGGGCGCTGCCCTGTGCCTGTGCTCAGCAAGGCTCACAGGCTAAGTGCAGAGGTCCCAGGAGCAGAGTCGGGCACAGGCAAAAGGACAGACTAAAAGGGCAAGTGACAGCAAGGGTCACGAAAGGGCGGCACATGGGGGACTCGTCTGGTCTAGAGAATCAGGGGCAGCCTTCCTGAAGAAATGGCACAGTGTGGCGTCAGGCTGACCAGGCAGAATGGAGAAGAGGCTCCTGGTAGAGGGAGCTGAGCAGGCTGCCCTGTCCCTGGCCATGCCTGCTTTCCTCCTTCTTTACATCCTCTTCCTTTACACCCCCCTTCCCCTCTGAAAGCTGTGGTTTCCACAGGGACACCTCAGACCCACACGTGGAAACAGCCTGCAAGCCCAGCTGGGCCTCCATCCCTGTGTCCAGGAGCCAGCCTCCCCTCCTCCCTGCCAGCAGGGCCGGGTTGGGCTCAAAGCACTCCTGGGCTGGGTGCATTCACTCGGGGAGTTTCTGTGGCCTGGCACCTCTACAGCAAGGGGTAGCCTGCCACAAGTGACAGCCCTGGGACTAAGAAAGGAGGAATGCCCCCAGGCAGCAGCCACAGGAAGTCCTCTACTTCAAGGAAACTGCTCCGAAGGTGCCACAGTCCTCTGCAGTGATTTGGGGATCGGGGCGGGAGCTACGGGCATCTGGTGAAAGGGAGCATGAATTTAGATGACCTGGACCTGTAACTTTAGCCTGTTACATACGCACACCATTGAAAAACCTGTTTCATTGTGTGCCTACAGTTGGGCACAGTGGCGCACACCTGTAATCCCAGCTATGCAGGAGGCTGAGGCCAAAGGATTGAAAGTGCAAAGCCAACCTCAGCAAATTGTTGAGGACTTAAGCAACTTAGTGAGACTCTGTCTTAAAATAAAATGTAAAATCAGACTGGAGATGTGGCTCAGTGGTTGAACACCCCAAGATTCAATCCCCAGTACCAAAAACAAAACAATCAAAACATTGTGTGCCTAGATTAATTGGCTCTATTACGTCCAACTCCACTTTACAGTTGAAACCAGAGCAGCACAGAGTGTTTTTATGCCTGGGGTTGGTTGGTTTGGGAGAGTTTTTGGTGTGGGCTTTTTGCTTGTTTTTTTTTTTTTTTAAATATTTATTTTTCAGTTCTTGGCAGACACAACATATTTGTTTGTATGTGGTGCTGAGGATCGAACCCGGGCCGCACGCATGGCAGGTGAGCGCGCTACCGCTTGAGCCACATCCCCAGCCCTTTTGCTTGTTTTTTAGTTTGGGCAATTGAACCTAGGGGTGCTCTACCTCTGAAGTACACCCCTAGTCTTTTTTTTTTCCTAATTTTTTTTATTTTGAGGCAGGGCCTCCCTAAGTAGCCAAAACTGGCCTCTAACTCACCATCTTCCTGCCTCAGTCTCCCAAGCCGCTGGGATTGCAGGAGCAGTACCACTCAGCTTTCAAGTACTATTTTATAGGTAACTCTCATTTTGTCACCAGCCATGTCTTTAATTTAAAGTTACGGATACCAACAACATTTCAGGGGTGAATGGGAGATACAGGGACTCACCAGGTTGAAAACCTCGACTGCTGTGTGGAGCCCTGAGCTGACCTAGCCCAGTCAGGCTCCGCTGAGGCAGAGGCGGTACTTACTTCAAGTAGTAGCCAGCGGGCTTCAGGGAGGAGGTGGGCTCGTTGGCCACAGACCACATCACCACGGCTGGGTGGTTCTTGTCCCTGCGCACCAGCTCCTCCATCACCTGCAGGTGGTGCTGCAGGGACGCGTTGCCATAGCTCTGGCTGCGGAGCAGAAGAGGGCGTCGGCAAGGCGGGTCGTGAGGCCAGACATGCGGGGCCGGGCATGCAGGGCTGCAGGGCCACACTCACGGCAGCACGATGCCCACGCCCGGACACTCGTCGATGACCACAATCCCGTAGCGGTCGCAGAGCTGCATCACCTCCTCGGCATAGGGGTAGTGGCTGGTACGGAAGGCGTTGGCGCCCAGCCAGCGCAGCAGGTTGAAGTCCTTCATCAGCAGGGCCCAGTCGAAGCCCTTCCCCCGGACCTGGGCGCCCCCACAGAGCAGAGTGACACCCGCGACCAGGGCTGGCCCGCCACAGCCAGACTCCAGCCGTGGGCAGGTGAGCTGCCCTCCAGGACCTCAGGCCACTGGGGCAGGTGGGAGGAGGGGATGGTGACAGAAACAGCCCCCCAGGGCACAGGGCCGCAACTCACGTCTGAATCCTCGTGTTTGTTGACCCCGTGGAAATAGAAGGGTTTCCCATTAATGAGGAACTGGCTCTCTGTGACTGCCACTGTGCGAATTCCGACGGGGAGGGTGTAGAAATCGGCCACTGGCCCATCCTCAGTCTGCGCCGTCATGCGCACCTGTGGGAGCCAAGCAGCCAGAGCGCAGGGTGGGCCACAGACCGAGCCCACCGGCCCAACAGGAAGGTCCCCTTTTTCATGGTACTGGGGGCTGAGAGCAGGCACTCTGCCACTGAGCTACATCCCCAGTCCCTTTTACTATTTGAGACAGGATCTCGCCAAATTGCTGAGGTTGGCCTCAAACTTCTGCCTCAGCCTCCTGAATAGTGGGACTGCAGGTCTGAGCCACTGTATCCAACTGGGAAGGTCCCTGGTACACCACAAGCCCCACCTTTGGGCCTGCAAGCAGAAACATCTCCTAAAAGTGAGAGGTTCTGCTTTTTGCAAGGAAGAATCACCCCAGCCCTGCCCCTGGGGCCTGCTCTTCAAAGCTGGGCCTCCCCACCAAGGGCTAAAAAAAGAAAGCCCAAGGGACCAGCCGGCCCACCCACCTGTCCTAGGCCTGCTGAAGCCAGGGCCACCAGATGGGAGCAAAAAGCCCCCTTCAACGCCAATCCTAAACCACCCTTACCTCCAGTGAGTACAGGTAGGCCGGGTGCTCATGCATCAGGTATGGCCACCAGAGATGGGCTGCAGGCACCTGCAGCTGGCCCCGGCCCCCAGCGCCATCAGCTACCACTCTGCCATCTGCATCCAGAAGATGCACATCCAGCTGCACATGTTCACTGCCCTGGGTGAAGATCTGGTAATTCACCAGCCCTGCAGGGAACAAGAGATCAGGCCAGGGAGGGTAGGCTAATGGGGAGGGGCAGAGATTCTCAATGGAGCTCAGTGTCTGTGAGAGGAGAGGGGGGGCACAGGACCCTCATCCCGAGCTACGCCATTTTAGGCAGGACCCCACCTCTCCCTGAGCCTCCTGTCCTCAAAGTGAGGTCAATCAGGTGATTTCTCAAGGCCTTGATGGTTCCCATTTCAGTTTCTAAATAGATGGGAGCTTGTGGGGGTCGAGAGCCCTTTTCCTAGGATCTTTCCAAACAGCGAATACAGCCTCTCTAGGCCCAGCTGAGGGCAGAGGCTGCCAGGAGCACTCACCAGTGTCTTGGTCCACTCCAGTGGTGACTGTGATGTCGTCGATGTAGGTGGTAGGCGTCGTGTAGAGAATCACAGACCGATGCAGTCCCGCATAGTTGAAGAAGTCAAAGTTTATGTCCTGGACAAAGTAGCCCTTAGGATACCTAGGTGGGGGACAGTAATCATGTGTCCTTGCTCTGGATCCTCTGACCTCAACTCACATCTCCCTGGCCTCCCCAGATCTAAGGCCTTAATTCTGCAAAAGCCACCCTGTTCCCAGCAGGAAGACCTCTGGGCAGGTGGGAGGGGAACCAGGGGACAGGCTGCTGCTCACTTGGAGGTATCGGTCTTGTAGAGGATGGTCCCTGGCGGCAGGGTGTGGGGGGTGAGTGTGTTGTTGATGGCGATGGTAATGCGGCAAGAGGACAGGGGCCCACTCTGCACCAGCTTGCTGATGTCAGCCTCGAAGGGGAGGTGGCCCCCCTCATGCTCTGCCACATGGACCCCGTTCACCCACTGCAGATACAAGGAGGGCCACCAGGCCAGAGCTTAAAGAGGGGGCCCTGCAGTTTCAGGTTCTCCCTCACATAAGGACCCACATGTAGGGGCCAAGGGGCCTGCCAGAAGCCCCCTGCCATACCAGCCTGGTGAGAGGAGGGGAGAGCCAAAGGAGATTAGGCAATGTGTCCCACCTGCAGCTCAGACCCCACACTGGGGCATGAATGTCCCCCTACTGTTCCACCCAGACGGTGGGCTATCAGGTGACAGTTGGGAGCCAGGCAACCCCAAGCATGCTCAGCAGCATGACTGCCCACCCCCTGCCTGCTGCCCCCTGCACTGACCACAATGGCATAGTAGTGGGCGCTTCCAATCCTCAGCACCACTCTTGTGCCCAGGTCTTGGGTCCACCGCTGAGGCAGGACTGCCTCCCGTTCGTACCACACCCAGCCAACAAAGCTCCGAAGCTGTGCATCTTGGCCCACGTCGTTGAAGCTGGAGGGGACTGGCATGTCCAGGGTGGGCCCCGACTGGGAGAGAAGAGTCAGGTCAGGTCCAGTCCCCTAGGCCCTAGGCCCACCGTCCTGCACTGCCACACTCCCCAACACCTGGCACAGCTCTGACACACAAAAGGGGCTATGAACAATTGGATCGCTTGCTGGCCTCAGCAATGCCAGTATGGTTTGTGGGGAGACCGTGGTGGTCAGAAGAGCTTCCTCAGGGCACCAGGGCCAAGATCTCCATGGATCAGGGTGAACCAGGGGTCAGCTCGGCCAAGGGCAGGAAGGGCCACCCCCTGACTCAGAGGCAGATGACCGGCTGACAAGAGAGGAAGGCCGGCAGGGCCGGGCCCCTGGGCTGAGGAAGCCCGGGGTCGGTAATGCTGGCGGCAGGCTCCTCACTTCCTCCTCTTCCTCACTTCCTCCTCTGCTGAGCCAAGTGGGAAAGGGAGAGGAAGGCGCGGGCGCCCTGCTGGCCCCATCTGCGCACCCGCACGCGGCCGGGGAGCTGGGCAGGGGTCCTGGTGGTTGGGGGGCCAGCACCCGTTCTCTCCCTGAGCGCTGGAAGCCACGGTCCGTCTTGCCTGGGCCAAGGTGGCCCCAGAAGTCCAGGCTGGCCCC